TTTGAAAATTTTTATAAACAAACATGCTGAAGTTGCCAAAACTCCCTTTATTACTCTCTGTGACATGCTCGTTACAGATATTGCCATATTTCCCATGGCATCATTTGATAGTGTAAACTAATTGCTAAGGCTAGAATAAAAAATGAGCAACTCGGTTATATATTTTCATCTAACATCAAAAGGCCGTGTTAAAGTAAGCCAAAGGAAAATAGCTGGAATGGATTCTATCTAGCCATCATATTCATCCTTTTCTCTTCAGTTGCTAAGTTTTTTTTCTGCTGGGGACGATTGAGCTATATAATGTTTTCTAATGTTCAACACATTCCATAACCAACAGAAGAATCAGCAAGAAAAATATCAGTTCAATAAAAAAGGAACTATTTTATCATGAGCACAGCACCAACCACAGATGAGCAAGCAAAGCAAACAACAAAATTAGAAACTTAATTTCTTGTACTCATATGGCAGATAATACAAAACAAGCACATAAGTTAATTCCCCATGCGGTAGATTAATACAAAACAGGCATTACAATTACTTACCAAAACCACAAGTTACTTGAGCTAATTACTTACAAAACAAGCAGCACAATTACTAACCACAAACAGTACAATTACTAACCAAAACCACAAGTTACTTAAACTAATTACTTGCAAAAGAAGCATCTCAAGCATTACGATGCATACTCATACTAACTAACTAGGCAAGATGACTCACTCTCTCCATTTCAGTTGAAACCGTATCTTTTGATCATCATTGTTCGGCAACTCCAATTGGGATAAATTCTCACTTCGCACACAACGCCATTCGACTCCATTCCGACCATAGGCCTCCACACTTACTTCCTCTAAATCCTGCTGCCAAAAGCGGTCCTCCCTTTCTTTCTTCATGAGGAAGATCCACAAACGATCAATAAGTTCATTGGCTTCTGCATTCTCATTGGTCTCTGGAACTGCTGGCAAATCCATGACTTCATCGGCTAATCCTGCTTGAACGGCATACCAGTGATCAATTAAGCGATCAGCCGCCTGTTCCTCTGCATACATTTCAGCCATGAAGTCTTCATATTCTTCAGTCACTGAAAGAGGATAGACAGACTGTTCTATGTATCTCGGCCGAAAACTACCAAAAAAATAATTTAAACAAGCTTCAAGGGAAGAACAAGGATTACGGTAAGCAACACCTAAGCTTTCAATCACGACAGGTTCTCCAAAATCCCCATAAACATGTGGCACCTCCAGAGGAAAACCCCTCATGTGCAGATGAATCATAGAATGATTCAATGTCCTAAGAAGTTCATTTAACTTGACATAAAACAGCGAAGTTTCAGTTTTAGTAATCAGTTCACGCTTCAAGAGTATGAGTGACCTCCACTCACTGGAGAAATTAATTACACACTTGAAAAAGAAATTAATTGCACACAATAGTATATATAACGTATTTTTTTTATTGATTTGGAAAAGTACTTTGCTACAAGAAAATGATGAAATTCTAACGACAATTTCGACAAAAATATATAACAATCGAATTTCAACGACAGTTCTAACGAATATTTAAATGTTATTCCTTTTATTTGAATTATTTCAATGAAAATTATAACAAAAATATACGGTCGACACATGGTCACTTCCCAAAACATATAGCATAATGTATATAACAAAAATTGTGGGAACATTTTTCATAATTTTAATCATACCCCCTATTCAGAAAATAAAATTAAAAGAAAGAAAGATATATAATGAATTAATTTGTGACTTAACCAATTTTACTTCAATTCAGCTCATAACTTTATTAAAGTTATAACATAAACACAGTTTTACAACTAAAGAAAATAGGATAAATCTAAAAATTATAATTTCACCCTTTTAATTTAATTTTATTTTTTTTAATCTTGATGATAACTTCTATTTTCTATCACCTAAAACTTACACATAGAACTAAAGCACAAAAAATTAACAAGCATTGGACAATTCAGTTCGTTTGCACCGATAAATACAATTTAAAAAATAAAAGTTCTAACCTACATGGATAAAAATACAAATAACTATTGTCTATTACCTAAAACATACACATAGAACTAAAGCACAAAAAATTAACAAGCATTGAACAATTCAGTTCGTTTTTACCGATAAGTACAATTTTAAAAGTTTATGTTTATTTTTATTAATTATAATATTTTTATTTATTACTTCTTTTCATATTTATTAGTAAGTACGTATGACAACTTAATTATATTTTTTATAATATTTGGCAAATTTAATATTTTTGTACTTTATATTGATCTTTCATATGGTCTTCACTTAATGGTCAGGTGAAAATTCGTTAACTTTATTGCCTTTGTGACAAAAATTGGATAAAATAATCAAACAAACAAATAAATAACGTTTTCTGTGGAATAAAAATTCAATTCAATAAATATAAGGTGCAATTTTCAAATGTAAGAGTGTATTTTTCTTAATAACGAATTAACTAAATGAATTGATTCACTTTTTTAGTTTGTTAGATTGTGTATATATTCGCTATACCAATGAATATTCGTTGCGATTTTCACTGAAATGTCTGACCGTTGTATTTTTTAAAACTTAATTTCATGTAGTAGTTTTTGTTATTAATTAAAGTAATTACGATTTTACATTAAAATTATATTAAAAATAAGTTGTTTTTCAAAATATCAATTATATATCTTTTCACAGCTGGGTTGATTTTTTGGAGATATGAAAGAAATATGTGAAAGAAACAAATTCGTGAGGAATAATGCTATGAGAATGTTGAGGTTGATTTTTAGGATAATTGATCCACTTTTTTAGTTTGTTAGATTATGTATATATTCGCTATATCAATGAATATTCGTTGCGATTTTCAGTGGAATGTCTGACCATTGTACTTTTTATTGCAATATAGCAATTTTTTTAAAACTTAATTTCATGTAGTAGTTTTTGTTATTAATTAAAGTAATTACGATTTTACATTAAAATTATATTAAAATTAAGTTTTTTTTCAAAATATCAATTATATATCTTTTCACAGTTGGGTTGATATTATGGAGATGTGAAAGAAGCATTTTGACAGATATGTGAAAGAAATAAATTCGTGAGGAATAATGGTATGAGAACGTTGAGGTTGATTTTTAGGAGATCTAGAATGTTATGTTCGTGAATCTATATTTATTTAACTAAATATTAATTATTGATTAAAAATATAAGATATGATGAGTATTAGTGTATTACTAATTTGCCATTAAAAATAAGTCAAAGTAAGGGGTTTTTTAGGTAGTTCATTTGTTAATTAAAAATATAAAATAAGATGGATATTATAGTATTACTAATTTGCCATTAAAAATATGTCAAAGTAAGGATTTTTTAGGTAGATTATTATTTTTACAAAATCACTCGTCCTTTTATAATAGTATAGATAGATAGATAGATAGAAAATCCACATACAAGTCACATTTATTAGTAGTATCACAAGACATGTATACTGATACTAAGTATTTCAAATATTTCTATTGATACAAACAAATTTCATGCTTTGGAGTTAGGCTTGGATATAAATTAATATTTATATTAATTGTATTTTAATATCATTTACTATTATAACCATTGAATTGCAAATATATTTTAAAAGTTGATAACTTTTGTATTTCTTATCGGTTTTACATATATAATATATCAAATTAATCATCTTTTGATGAGCTTCGATTTGTCGCACAAGTAACATATGTCATACTAAAATATATAATAATATATACTCCCTCCTATTTTTATTATTTGTCACTTTAGCTTAATTGATTATTGATAAAATAAATGTCATTTTATATATTTTGTTCATATTTTTTCATTTTTAACCCTCCATCTAATATACATTGTCTCTTCATATCCCATCCCATAACGTCAATTAAATAGGGTTAATATTGTCAAGAAAAAAATCTTAATTAGTGTGTTGCATTTGAATTGATATTATGAAGTCCATTTGTATTTTACTATTTATTTTATATATAAAAAAATACAAAACAGTAATATATATTCTTATAAATAAAATTTAAATTTATTTATCAAACTAAATTAAATTTTATCAATTAATATATTTATGTTTAATGTAGTTATAGGTTATAAGGTAGAAAATGTATTATAATATAACACATATAAGTCGCACAAGTAACATGTATCATACTAAAATATATAATAATATACTCCCTCATAAAACTATAAATTATATTATAAAATAATAGAAATTGGTATGTATTCTTTTAAAAATAATATTTATTTCAAATCTAATTGGTATGTTGTCAATGTAATAAAAATAAATAATTATTTATATAAATTCTAAAATTACAAAAAAGTTAAAAAACTGTGAAGCACGATTGATACGACACTTGATGTATTAGGCATCTAATTAAGTAAAAAAAATTAATCAATTTTGTTTAATATTAAATAAACATATTCTACACTTATATACATATCACCATATTATTTCTATTTATTTAAGATACATATTTTTATACTTATGTAATAGTAAATATATAATATCGATATTTTTATATGATATAAGTAGAAAATTCAACACGGGTGACATTTTCATTTAATGTACGGGTGTTTAATTAATATGATTAAAAAAATATAATTTGAAAATTTAATTAAAACCAAAATTAATGTTTTATATAAAATTAAATTATTTTAGTTTTAAAAAAAATAAAAAAATTATATTTTTTACAAAGCTTTCTAATTCAACACCCGTGTAATATACAGATATTTTACTAGTTATTATTGTGTAAAATCTAGATCGCATTGAGTAGGCATATCTGTTTAACAAACTCTCCGATATTCTCTATTCAAATCTATTCATCCTAACTCATTTTTTTGACAAACTCATAGGATTGGAAGTGCTTTTACACGTTTCTAACAGAAAAGTAAATGATTGAAGAAGCTTTCGATTATCTCAGTTTCTATAAACTCTTTTTTTAAAAAAAAAAAGCAGAAACATAGGAGAATACCTCCACATCCATGGACGACAGAATATCCCAACTGCCAATACCTATACTTCACCACATTCTCTGTTTCCTCTCACAGAAAGAAGCTGTCCGAACTTGTGTACTCTCCAAACAATGGTGCCACATAGGATCAACCCGCCCCAACCTCGAATTCTCCGAAGAATGGTTCGACGACACACAAGAAAAGGTTGTCTCCGTCAACTCCTCCACAGGATCTACACGCCCCAGCCTCAACTCTTCCGAAAAATCGATCAACAGTACACAAGAAAAGTTTGTCCCCGTCGTTGACCGAACTCTACAAGGATACCTTGATCAAAACCGCTCCAAACTGCACCGCATTCTCTCTTGCCTCCTATGCAGACCATGGCGCCCCAAAGGATCAACTCGCCCCAACCTCGAGTCTTCCGAAAAAGTGTTCAACACTACACAACAAAACTTTGTCTCGGTAGTCGACCGAACCCTACAAGGATACCTTGATCAAAACCTCTCCATACACAAACTCCATCTCCACTTATCGAGTCCCGACTCACGACCGGTCGTCTCCCTTCCCGACAAATGGATCCCAATATTAGCAGCCCTCAACATAAAAGCATTCGAACTCAACTTTCTTTCATATACTCCGCCGTATTACGACCTGCACTCGGCAGTCTTCGAGTCCCTCGAAGAACTACACCTGCGCAAATGCAGGCTGAGCCCGGTCGAGAGTGTGCGATTTAAAAGTTTGCGCACACTCACCCTCGAACAGGTCCAAGTTGATGGCAGCACTTTTGATACGAATATGTTGGGTTGCCCTTTGCTCAGTCGCCTGGTCATTAAAAGTTGTTGGGAGTTGAGAATTGTTAGGGTGAGCGAGGCTGGGTTCAAGCACTTTGAATTGTGTGATTCCAAGAGGATCGGAGGGCGTAGCATCGAAATCGATGTCCCAAATCTCGAGACGGTCTCCATAACGGCCTCATGGTTTTTGTGTCACCGCCAAAGCGCATTATTGTTCTCTCGTCTCACGAGATTGAGTCTCAATAGTGTGATCCTGTCGAGAGAGTTGTTCGATGTGTTATCGTTGAGCTGCCCGACACTTGCGAGCTTGGCCCTAGATAATTGTTCCGGTTTTGAGGAATTCCATCTTGCAAGTGATTCAGTCGAGTTCTTGCGCATCTCGACAACAAATATACCGCCGCTTAAAGGAGTTACGATTTGTGCCCCCAACATTCTCAGTTTTACATTCAATGCCGGCATTCCCCAGGTGCCGGACACATTCTCTGTTACGACAACTACTTCCAAGGAGTGGTACTCATATGTAATCCTCGCTTCTTCACGTGAGGATTATCCCGATTTCGACGTCAATTGGTGTTTCTGTAAGCTGAGACGATTGCTCAAGGCACTAAGACGGTCTCTAATTTCTCTGATTCTGCATATGGACGGCGGCCCGCTGGACGTGCCGTGCAGTGCTGTCGACTGCAGTCATCTTCTCAGTAACCGTCCGCCTGTGGTGGTGGAGGACTTGACATTTAGTACTCGTAAATGCCGCACGGCATCTTGGTACTCGGGCTTTACGAATGGCTTGTTTCGTGTTTGTCGACCGAGGCACATATGTGGTTGTAGGAACAACAGGCTCTTGCTAAACATGATCCTGGGAAAATATGGCAGCTTCATATCGACCATGCCCTACTTCTGGCAGCACCAACTGGAGCAAGTTCACGTGAAAACCATCGATGGGAAAATATGGCAGCTTGTGGAGTGGATGAACCAGTCGGAATTGAGAAACAGGACGTATGACAGGATAATGTGCCTTAAGTTGAAGTGGAGAGATCAGAAGACGGCATAAGTGCTGCAAACTATCTATATTGTTACTTCATTCTTTGGAAACTTTTTTTTTTAACCGATATCAGCCTTTATCCATTTATTACTAGAAAAATAAATATTTTCAATTAATCTTTTAACAAACAAACCACACAAGTTAACGCAGAACGAACAAATTTAGCACAATAAAGAAAAATTGTTTTGACAAATAACCCAATAAACCATTTATTACTTATACATAAAAAAAACTGACCAATTATTTTTATTTTAAAAATCAAAACAATTAATTTTTCCAGTTGCTGTGTCTTTTTTGTGCTGGGGGACAATTGAGCTATATAATGTTTTCTAATTGCTTGCTGGTAAGTTGCACCGGGCAATGTTTTATATCCTCCATGGCCGGGCTTTATGGTCAAGAGTCAGAACTATTGAACTGAACCTCTTCCACTCGGGAAAGTTGCAGTCCTTCCTTACCTTTCATGGGATGGGACTTGCCTTTCTTAAGACAGTAGATCATTACCCGTAGATCCTTTTTCTGGGTTGTTCAACTCTTCCTGTAACTGCTTGCCTGTACCCTGCATCCATAATGTTCAACAATGTTCCATAACCAGCAGCAGCAAGCAACGTATCAGTTCAATAAAAAAGGAAATATTTTATCATGAGCCGAACACCAACCACAGCTGAGTAAGCAAAGCAAACAACAAAATTAGAAACTTAATTTCTTTTCTCATACGGTAGATAATACAAACCAAGCACATAAGTTCAATTCCCCGTACGGTAGATAATACAAAACAGGCATTACAATTACTTTACCAAAGGCAAAGCCACAAGTTACTTAAACTAATTACTTACAAAACCACAGGTTCCTAAAACTAATTACTTACCAAAACCACAAGTTACATAAACTAATTACTTGCAAAAGAAGCATCTCAAGCGTTACGATGCATACTTATACTAACTAGGCTAGATGACTCACTCTCTCCATTTTAGATGAATGCGTATCTTTTGATCAACATTGTTCGGCAACGCCAGTTGGGACAAATTCTCACTTTGCACACAACGCCATTCGACTCCATTTCGACCATAGGTCTCCACACTTACTTCCTCTAAATGCTGCTGCCAAATGCGGTCCTCCCTTTCTTTCTTCACGAGGAAGATCCACAAACGATCAATGAGTTCATTGGCTTCTACATTCTCATTAGTCTCTGGAACAGCTGGCAAATCCATGACTTCATCTTCTATTCCAAACTCTTCAGCCGCTCGAGCGGCATACCATTGATCGATTAAGCGATTAGCCTCCTGTTCATATGCATACATTTCAGCCATGATATCTTCATACTCTTCAGTCACTGAAAGAGGATAGACTGACTGTTCTATGTATCTCGGGCGAAAACTACCAAAAAAATAATCTAAAGAAGCTTCAAGGGAAGAACAAGAATGACGGTAAGCAACAGCCAAGCTTTCAATCACGGTAGGTTCTCCAAAACCCCCATAACCATGTGGTACCTCCAGAGGAAAATCCCTCATGTGCAGATGAATCCTAGAATGATTCAATGCCATAAGCAGTTCATTTAACTTGACATAAAACAACGAAGTTTCACTTTTAGTAATCAGTTCACGCTTCAAGAGTATGAGTGACCTCCACTCACAGGAATTCGTTGTAAACGTCATTGAGGGAAAACTATCACAAAGCAATTCAAAAGAAAGTATATTCGGGAGGTCAATAGCTGCCTTGGTGGGGCCATCCACCGCAAGATGCAACCGCTTAATCGAAAGGCTTGAGAGCTGGAATTCTTCAAAGCCGTTGCAGAAGTGTATTTTCAAATCCTCAAGACAGCAAAAATCAGCCGAGAAGCTATCGAAATCCTTCTGGGTGAGCACCACATATTCCAGAAGCAGGGACTTCAGACAGGCAAAGGTCTTCCCATTGTGAAGCCAACTCGAACGTCCCACAATCTTGATGCTCTCTATATTTGGAGCGTCAATTTTGATAGTGCCTTCATAACAGGACCCCGAACGATGGTATTCAAAGTGTTTGAGATTATCATTATGAACCTCAACTCTTGTGATACCATGACAGGCCTCAATGGCCAAATGTTCTATCAGGGGGCAATTCGACATTATCTTCTGCAAAAGTTTGTCTTCAATGTCGACCAAAGAGAAGGAAACTTTACGAAGACGCCAAGAAAGTACCTTCTCAACAGATTCAATTCTGCATCTCTTGAGATGCAAATCCTCAAGGGTTTCAGCTTCAAAGATGACCGACGGCAAGGTAAAGTAGCTCAAGGGGGAAATCAGATGAAACCTCTTAACGCCCATTTCGAGCAAGATGATCGGGACCCATTTTTCAAGAAGAGAAACAGAATTAGCATTAATGTTTCTTACAGACAATATAAATTCTTGCAAGCAAATCTCCCGGTCATTGTAAACTTGTAGCGTTTTGTCCAAATGGGACAGGAACTTTTCATGGTTCCCTTCGTAGCACGCTTCATTAAACTCGATTTTGGGGCGAGTAGGGCCAATAGAACGCCATGATTTCGACAAAACACAGGTCTTGGTCGCGTCGTCTTGTGAGAGGAAAGCGACAATGTTGTGCAATAAGGGTTGTGGCAGTTCGGAGATTCTGCCGTCACCGGAGTTGGGACAAGATTTTTTTCTTTTCGCTGGCTGATTTTCCATGGCTGATCAAGATTTTTGCTGATCTTGGATAGGAACCCAAAAAACACCCCTTTCAGTAAAGTAAATTAGAGGTGATTTCTACCCATAAATTACTACGTTTTATGCATTTTTTATTTGCGACGATTTGACTGATTTCTACTCTTCCAACTTGTCTGACCAGTTAGGCACGTGTTTTGCAAGTTGTTTCACACATTCTGCAAATACATAGCTCATAGATGATTATATTAATTCAATTGATGTATTAATTTTTATTAAATAATTGTATAAAAAAAAATGTGATGAATAATTGTATAATAGGAACCATTCCGTCGGGATTTGTAACCGTTAGATCATCATGTAACCGTCGTGGATAGTTGATCTAACGGGTTACCAATCCCGATTGAATGATTCCGTAACGGGTATAAAATGAATGTTAACAGTATTAAAACATTTTATTAGATTAATTTATTTAAGATTAATTGCTAAAAAAATACTATAATAGTATATAATTTCATAATATACTGAGCCTACGTTTCTCATGCTTCGTAATCCTATTTGGCAAAAAATCATGCTTTGTTAGACTTGGATATAAATTAATATTTGTATTAATTGTATTTTAATATAATTTCCTATTATAATCATTGAATTGCAAATATATTTTAAAAGTTGATAACTTTTGTATTTCTTATCGGTTTTACATATATAATATATCAAATTAATCAACTTTTGATTAGCTTCGATGTGACATCCATATTGTATATATAAAATAAATAAATTATATTTATCTTTATAATAAAAATAAACTTATTTATTAAAATTAATTAGAAAATACAATTATTTATCAATTAATATATTTATGTTTAATGTAGTTATATGTTATAAGGTAGAAAATTTATATAAGTCGCACAAATAAAATGTGTCATACTAAAATATAAGAGAATATATACTCCCTCCTATTTTTATTATTTGTCACTTTGGTTTAATTGATCATTGATGAAATAAATATCGTTTTAGATATTTTGTTCATATTTTTCTATTTTTAACCCTCCATCTAATACACTACACAGTGTCTCTTCATATCCAATCTCCATCATTTCCCACAACATCCATTAAATAAGGTAAATATTGTCAAGAAAAAAAAATCTTAATTAGTGTGTTGCATTTGAATTGATATTATGAAGTCCGTTTATATATTACTATTTATTTATATATATATATATAATACAAAACAGTAATATATATCCTTATAAATAAAATTTAAATTTATTTATCAAACTAAATTAAATTATATCAAGTAAAATTATAAATTATATTATAAAGTAAAAGAAATTGATATGTATTTTTTTAAAAATGATATTTATTTCAAATCTAAGTAGTATGTTGTCAATGTAATCAAAATAAATAATTATTTATATAAATTCTAAAATGACATATAAAGTTAAAAAACTGTGAAAAACGATTGATACGACACTTGATGTATTAGGTATAATTAAGTAAAAAAATTAATCTATTTTGCTTAATATTTAATAAACATATTCTACACTTATGCATATATATATATATATATATCACCATATTATTTCTATTTATTTAAGATATATATTTTTGTACTTACGTAATAGTAAATAATACCGATATTTTTATATGATATAAGTAAAAAAACTTAACACGGGTTGACATTTTCATTTAATATACAGATGTTTTAATATTTATGATTAAAAAAAATATAAATTGACTATTTAATACAAAAGATTTTTAATTCAACACCTGTGTAATACACGGGGCTTATACTAGTATATATTAAGTATAAAATTAGAGATGTTAAATGGTCCTTGGCCCGACGGGTCGGCCCATTTAACTCGAAAAAAAAGAGGGCTAGCTCTTTTTATTAGTAGCCCGTTTAAATCACGGCTTTATAGGCTCGGACCGTTTAGCCCGAAGCCCGCTAGGGCTAGCCCAGAACCCGCTAGGGCTGGCCCGTTTAACTAGGGTTGGTGACCGCGCGTCGTTACACGGCAAATTTGAATTTATAATTTTTCCTAACTTACCCCTACTAACTAGTAGTAGTGGCGAGCAAGGGTCGATCCCACAGGGAGTGTGGTATAAACCGTGATTTTATTATATTAATTAGATTAAAATAAAAATGGGGGGATTTGGTTTATTACGAAACTACTAGCAAAACAAGAAATAAACTAAAACTAAAAATAAATGACTAAAATGCAAATGATGATGAAATGGAAAATAAATAAAAATAATCTAGCAAAGATGAGAATGGAATCGGTTCCAGGTCGGTCTACACCCTCGAATAACTAGCCCAATTAATGCTTTTACCAAATTTCACTCGTCTTCTAAAACTACCGGTCCTAGATAGCAATAAGCTCTGCTACCCGAATTTTCCCTTAATTTATACTTAATCGAAATAGGCTCTTCAATTAATTCTAACTAGCGAATAACTCGGAATAGGCTCTCCTAATTTAACCCACTAGCCGCATTAAAATCTAGGAAAATAGACCGATCTAAGCCACAAACACATAAGCTCGGTTCATGTAACTTATGTTGTGCTATCCCTAACAATGCACGACTGTTAGTTGCTACAAACGAAATAAGAGCGACGACAATTACGGATCGAAGCCTCAAATCTAGCAATTAACATGCAATTCCTAACTTAGGTGATCAAGCTAAATTAAAAATCACACATTATGACATGAAATTAGAATAACACAAACAATTTTATACGACGAGTAAAACGAAATAAATAGCATTAATCAAACATAGTCATCGAGGGTTCAACGTCCCTAGAACCGATATAGTGTTTAGCTACACATAGCTAAATAATAAAAATAAAAATTAAAATTCATGTTCTTCAATCAAAAATAAGAAAAAACAAATAATAAAATAGCAAACTCCTTTAATGTCCACGGCCGATCCGATTTCTCGCAAATAAATCCTCCAGCTCTTGGTACTCTCTCCCTGTTCACGTATGCCAAAGTCTAAAACAAAAAAGAATGCCTTTTATTTTTCCTTCTCTCCTCCCTTTGATGCGTGCAGCTCTTAGGATTTTTTTGAGTCCAAATCCCCCAAAACTCTCCAAATTAATTCCATTTCTTTTTTCCAAGTCAAACTAATAACAAATAATTGAGAGTCCACTAGCAATCCACTTCTTTGCTCTTCAACACAATCCGCAGCACAAGTCCTCCAATTCAACAAAATTTAATTATTTACTAATCCATTAAGCATTGCCACGCCTAGTCAATAATTTTTGGCCACGTCATCGCTTACTTAGCTGCCACATCTTTTATATGCTTAAGAACTGCAAAATAAACACAAAATACGAATATTGGTGTATGTCCGTTCACAAAATAAAATACGCGAGAAAACTTAATAATACACTAAAATCAAATACTAAAATATATAAATTAACTCACAAAATAACACAAGATTTCTCACGTATCAGTTGGGCGGTGTGAATGTTTGCATCAAGTAAGTAAGATACTCTTAAATTCCTTGTATATTACAATTTTGATATTCGACTTCACATGTAAGTACGAGTTGTAATGAATTATAATGATTTTGAAATATTATTATTAACAATATTGTTATTGTACTTCATACCAAAATATTTAAGCCAATCAGAACGACTAATAAGAAATACATGAAACATAGTGATAGACTGTAAATATTAAATAGCCGTTGAAAATAATTTTTAACTAGCCGTTGTTATTTTTTAATATTTTTTACTCTTTTTAATTTTTTATTTTTTTTATTTTATTATTATTATTATTATTATTATTATTATTATTATTATTATTAGCCCGCTAGGGTTAGGGTTAAGTCCTTTTTTTGGTAGCCCGTTTAAATCTGGACTTTTTAGGCCCGGACTGTTTAACCCGAAGCTAGCTAGGACTAGCCCGAAACCGCTAGGGCTAGCCCGTTTAACATCTCTATATAAAATGAATGTTAACAGTATTAAAACATTTTATTAGATTAATTTATTTAAGCTTAATTGCTAAAAAAATACTATAATAGTTTTTCGAGATTTACAAATAAAATTAAAGTTTTTCAAAATCTATATACATATAAAAAGAATTACTATTTACTATAAATAGAAAGCTAAGTAAATCTGCGAAAATCTAATGCATGCCAAATTCAGAAATGCTTTCAAATTTTTTTAACTAAAAAACCGGCAGCATTAGTTGAACCTAAAATGGTGAGACAATTGAAAAATTGAATCCGATTTTTACGTAAAGATGCATCCGATTTTTATGTGAACATTTAAATTCAAGTTTCTTTCTCATTACACGTTTCCTAAAAGTTGGACTAAATTCAAATTTTGGACGAATTTAAATTGCATTAAAAAATTTGTAATATTTAAAAATCATTAAGGATTTGTTCAAGAATTTAAAAATATCTAGCAATAGGTAACTTTGTTTCTACTCAAACACATGATTTTTTTTTTTTCAATGATCTAAAATTATATTTCAGTTTTACTTTTTTATTTTTTGTTCAGAATCAACAATGTTTCCAACAAATTTGTAGTGATTTTTTCAACAATTACTTAATAAAATCGGCCTGAATTCAAATTTTGGACAAACTTAAAATGCATTCAAAATTTTGAACAATTTAAAATTTTAAAATCCATATCTATGTCTATATCTATATCTACATCTATATATACATAATAAGAATTATTATTTACCAAAAATAGTAGCAACAAAATAGGTCAGAATTTAATGCAGCTTATAAATAGTAAGTTTTATTATTTTTTCTTAGTTTTTTTCTTTAAAATCATACAACATTACATGCTACCTTAAATTTCGGGCTTTAGTTCATTTTATTATTTAAAAAATTCGGCTAAGATTTATTAAGTGTGTATGTTTTTGTTTTTATTTTTTTCTTAGAAACAACAAACATTAAAATCTCAGTCTCTATATTTATAAAATCTCAATTCAAAATATAACAAAAGTTTTAGAATCTCGGTCTTTATTATTGTGCCTTTAAAAAAATATTGAACGCTAAAAATA